AAAGCGGAGAGCCGAGGGGGGGGGCGCTTCTGAATGTGACAGCAGAATAGGCGGGGGGGGGGAGAGGAGGAGGCTGGGCGCGCTCCCGCGTCCCCTTCTTGTTCGGAGACTTAATCCTGCCTCCTCCCCAAGAAAGGATGGAGAGAGGAGGGCTCCCTCCCCAAAACTGAAGCGGGTTTTTTGGGGGGGGCAGTGAGGAAGAAGTGGCATTTTTGGAGTGGGGGTGGGAAGAAAGGACGGTGTATTTTCTCTTTTCCCCCCCCCGCCAAAAAAAAGCAGGGGTGTGTGTTGGGTCTCCCACCAGCGTCCCCAAATCGCCACCATCTCAGGGCGGGGGAGTTGTTAAGAGTCCTCTTTTGGGACCCCCCCCGGCCAGCACTTCTTTCCATTCCCCCACCCATCTTCCTTTTCCTTCTCTGTCTCTCTCTCTTCCCTTCTTCCTTGCCACACTCTTTCTTCCCCTCCTACCCTTTCCTCTCCCTCTCAGAGGAGGCGATTGCATCTCCCCTCCCTCCCTCCCCATAGCCTTTCATTCATCACACATCCCTTTCTCCAATTATTGTCTTCCTCTCCCTCCTTCGCCAGCCTCCCTCCATCCCTCCATCCCCTTCCCTTCTCCCACCCTCCTTTCTCTGCCACCTCCCGGCTCCTTCCACCTGTCCCATCCAGCGCCATAAAACACCCTTGGGTGCACAGCGACCCCCACCCACCCCGCAACCCCCCCCTCTCCTCCTTCTCCCCCTGGCTTGGCCTTCTGACCCCTCGCTTCGGATCCGTCCCTTCTCCCCGTGTCCCTGGCTCAGACCTCTGACAGGAGTGATGGAAGGACCCGCGAAGGCCGCCTGGCAGAGGTGTGCAAGCCGGGAGTGTATTTGGGCAGCTCATATTTTCCAGCCAGCGACAGATTGTCGACACGACGCTCCGTTAGCAACTCATTTAATTGATTTTACAATCTTTCTTCCTTCCCTGCCTCCCTCGCCTTCTGCCTCCGCTCGCTCTGTGGCGCTTAGTGCTACCTCGCTTGCCCGTATCTCTCTCTCTCTCTCCCGCAACTGTCACTGAATTTGGTCTTTTATGGGATGGGCATTTGAAACTGGAGCAGAAAGTGAAAAGCAGGGTTGGGCTGCCAATTGCTGGACCAGAACTCCTGGGTTCTCCAGAAGTGGGGGAGCGGGATTGACAAAGAGCAAGAATAGGCGATGTGCCCTTATTTCTCTAAAGGGGTTCTGGTGGATTAAAATGTCTGGAAGGGACCAAAACATTTCTCTGCACCCCTCCGCCCCACCTACCAGTTCCAACATATATTTTGTGTGTTTCTGTTCTGTATATGTGCATTTGAGTTCAAGACTTAATGCTGCGCCCTCTGATCTGGTTCCCTTCCCCTCTCCATCCCATAAATATGGGGGCACTCAGTGGCGAGCAAAATGCACTTTGCCCATGTTCAGAGGCACTCTGGTCTTTGCTTTCAGCAGCAGTGTTCCATATATGCTGGTCCTGGCGTTTGGTTGCAGTCCTAGCCCTCACTTACCTGGGAATAAGCACCCTTCAATTCAGTAGGACTTACTTCTTTGCAAGACATATGTCAGGGTTGTCCTCGTGGGTGTGTATCCTATGTTTCCGTGGCTGTTTTGTCGAGCGCTTTAAAAAAAATGCACAAAAGCGCTTTATGGTTTGTTAGTCCTGTTTGCCCTTATGACATCCCTGTGTGATGGGTCGCTGCTATTCCCATTTTGTAGATGGGGAGACTGAGGCTTGAGAGAGGGGGTGACTTGCTCAGAGTAACATGAGCTGAGAGAATGCTTCTTAGGTTCCCCAAGGTCCAAGTTCACCAGAAATTAATTTGCGGTGCGTCTTTTGTGTTCCAGTGTGATTTTAAAACCAAGTCTCTTGATTTGAATGCCCCAGGCAAATTTTAAATTCTCGTTAAGTCTCGGGACGGGAGCAAGATGTGTAAATATATATGTGTGTATTGGTTTTGTTGAGATTATGTGGATCTTGCCGCTTTTATTGACAAGTATTTTTCAGAGTTGAATTTTGTAAGTGACATTTGCACATGTTTGGAATCCAAAAAGGGTTTTGAAACGTTTGCCAAGTTTTCTAAACGGTGTGAAATTTCATTTCCGCTCTCGATTCATGCCTCCCCACCACCACCTCGGGCTATGTTTTTTGAATGCTCCCTGATTTCTGAAAGTCATTCCAGGGATTTCAGCTGTGATGCTGGCATGTTGGACAGATAGTCAGGACTCAGTGGGGTTGTGCTTTGGGAAATAAATCTGTGTTGAGGTGTGTGTGTTTGTGTGTGTATATTATATTAATACACACCAAGCCCCACGGGGCAGGGGTCCTTGCAGCTTCATGCCCTGTAGAGCCCTCCTCCCACTTTCGAGAGTCTCAGGTTTTGTGTTTGAAACATGACTCCTTCAGGATCATCACCTGCCCACGCAGGCTGAAAAAGCCGTTCTGAGTTTTATTTCTTTCTTTCATTTGCAAGAGCACAGTTTGCATACGTTCCACAGTGCCATGCCAGGGCGAGGTTAGAGGTGACCACGACTGCCGGGGAATGGCAGGCGGCGCACACCGCAAAATTAAAAAAAGATAAAACAAAATAAAGCTGTCCGGCTCGCGCTGCCAAGCCCTTTCAAAGCCACAACCCGAGGAAAAAACCATTCCCTTCCTCCCAGCCCACAAAAAAATTGAAAACGCAGCCAAGAGACACTTCGGTCTGGCAAAGTGTGTGAAGCAGCACCAAACATGCGAGTCTCCCGCCCCCCCTTCAAGAAAACAGTGAACGGGTTGTGCAAAAGCTGGCCTGTGTCTGAAACGGTTTGCTTCTAACGCTAGATGTGTCAGAGTTCCAAGTGTGTTGCTTATTTGTAATTGATAGCGGACTTCTGTTTTGCGTTTTCAATGGACTTGGAAAAAAACAACAAGCCTGCGAGGCGGGCCCCTCACATTCTTGCTTTTCATTTGAGGAGCACAGACTTTCTGGAGGTCTCTGGGCAGGGCTTGAGGCCTGGATCCTGGCCTCTCGCTTCCCCCTCGGACCTTCCGCTGCCTTGTCTCTCCAAAGCTTCTCAAAGCCCCATCTCAGTTCCTAAAAGGCTTGTGGGCTGGCTCAAGGTTGAGGGCAGAGGGTTGGTTCTCCACACCCTGGTCTTCCCCGATCTCTCGCCCTGGAAGATTTCCCAGAGGGTTTGGCCTACATTTCGGCAAGCTAATAAACAAAACGAGGCACTCTGCATGTGGCCAGAGGCGCTCTCTCTCTCTTGTAAAAAATAAATGAATCATTACATGCTCCATTGAAGGATTTGTTCCGAGGCTGACTCTGACGAAGCCCCAGGAACGGTTAAAATCCCACACTAGTCAATAAATCAATCCCATGCAGACACCTCACAAACTACCAGCGAGGCCGACTTTGTCACACAGTGCATAATTAACTTACGGAAGCTCGTTGCTTGCGGTGCAGCGCATGGTCGCAGGCTCTGATTCCTTGAAAGGGGGATTAGACTAATTCGCAGGGGAGAGGGTGTGCGGTTTCTTCTTGCCGTCCCAGCTGAATTGAACCTCCATATACAGAGCCAGCCTACCTAGGAACTGGGATGCGGGTGGCGCTGTGGGTTAAACCATAGGGCCTAGGGCTTGCTGATCAGAAGGTCAGTGGTTCGAATCCCTGCGACGGGGTGAGCTCTTGTTGCTCAGTCCCAGCTCCTGTCAACCTAGCACAGGGGTCTGCAACCTTTAAGACAAAAAGAGCCACTTGGACCCGTTTCCGAAGGAAAAAAAACTGGGAGCCGCAAAACCGGGAAGGTGACGTTGGGATGGTGCGTGACTAACGCATGCACCGCCCCCATGCGACGTCACAGCCAGTACAGCGCCCGCCACAGTGGGGAGTGTCGGGGCGCACAATGCGCCTCCTCCCCTCGCTAGTATCTGCCCCGGAGCCATGGCAAAGGTGTAAAAGAGCCACATGCGGCTCCGGAGCCGCGGGTTGCAGACCCCTGACCTAGCAGTTCGAAAGCACGTCAAAGTGCAAGTAGATAAATAGGTACCGCTCCGGCGGGAAGGTAAACGCCGTTTCTGTTCGCCGCTCTGGTTCGCCAGAAGTGGCTTAGTCATGCTGGCCACATGACCCGGAAGCTGTACACCGGATCCCTCAGCCAGTAAAACGAGATGAGCGCCACAACTCCACAGTCGTCCGCGACTGGACCTAACAGTCAGGGATCCCTTTACCTTTACCTAGGAATTACTAGAATCTGGGGTCAAACAATGCAAGAAGGTTGGTGCTGTCATGCCTGGGAATCCCCAGTTACTGGCCGCTCAGGTTAGATGGCCGTTTGGTTTGACACCTCAAGCGCCTGGACAAGGGCACATGGAAAGTAGAACCAAATAGCTGCGCCAGGTTTGCGCGCAGCCAGCATGCACCTCACCCCACAAAATGGCAGCGCATCGAGCCTCCGGCTAAATGGAAGGAACAGGCAGAGCTCGGTTCTGCCATTAAAGATCTGGTGGTAGAGCCAATTGCCCAGGCCGTTGCCTGCTGGGTGAAATCTGGAGCTGGAGAAAGTGGGGTCATGCCACTAGCCCTCAAGAGCCAACAGGATCAGATAGTTCAAAAGCACACAATACACGTTATTCTTTGTAAAGATGCCTTTGGCGCCTTTAGACACCTGTGAGGAGGATGTGGAAGAGGTGTCCAAAAGTAGGAGTTAATCAAGGACGCATCGTGGGCATGCATCTAGATTTTGGTAATCTCTGCAATCTCTCTCCCTCAGAGAATCCTGGGAACTGTGCTTTGTTCAGGGTGCTGGGAATTGTAGTTCTGGGAGAGGAAAACCACAGTTCCCAGGATTCTTTGCAAGAAGTCGTGTGCTTTAAACCAGGCATAGGCAAACTTGGTCCTCCAGATGTTTTGGGACTACAACTCCCACCATCCTCAGCTAACAGGACCAGTGGTCAGGGATGATGGGAATTGTAGTCCCAAAACATCTGGAGGACCGAGTTTGCCTATGCCTGTTTTAAACAAATGTTGGGTATGCCATGCCTCGGCTCATGTATGCAGCATTAGTGCACATGGCAGCCGCATCGGTGCACCATGTACATGCTCAGAGTTTGTCTTGTGAGATTGTTTCACCGTGAAAAAAACATTTGCAACTCCACCCATGCTTGCAGTAGCATAGATGGGCTGTAGGTGGGAGAAGGAAGTGTAGTTCCCTGGGCGTAGAGACTTGAATTTCCATGGCTCTGTGGCCCAAGTCAAGTCACTCATCCTTCAGAACAGTTTCCCTCACCCTCAGGATACGATTCCGGTAATGCACACTTTCCCCCTCAGCTGTACAATCCGTCAGGGCCACTCAATTCTTAGTAGGACATCTCGACTCGAACCACAAGCCTCAAGGTCCCAGATAGCTTTTCCAGCACCCAGCTTAACACAACCTTGATTCCCCCAGTCCTGCGTTGAGGCAAACATTCCGCTGAATTGTACCAAGACAGTCTTGCGGCTAGTTCATCATGTATATAAGTTGTAGTGCAATGTGTGACTCTCTTTCAGAAATCGCAAGCCAAGTTGCTAGCCCTTATTGATCCCAAACCCGGCTTATTTAAAGATTGTATCAGAAGTTAGAAGGGGACGTCTGCCTGAAGTGGCTTTCTAGTGTGGGGTGTCCAGCGTCGCCCTTGGGCCCTTTGCTTTGCTGGCAGGAATAAGCTATGCAAATATATGCAAATGGGTGTGTGACTTATGTGGAGCTTAGAAAAGGTTCTTTTTAGCACCACATTAAGGTTTGCTTTAAACAGTAGTGGAAGTCTGATATTTTGCCTACCGTGTACAGATCTAGCCTCAGGTACCTGCTGTCACTGGGCTGTAGGTCATGTGTTGATTTCCAGGCAGGTGCTCACGATGCGAGGAAGCGGTGTCCCTGCATGTCCCACAATCCTCTGGGATGCAGCAAAGCACTCTGGGAGATGGACTCTTGCTTCTGCAGGGATCCGGCCATCCATGCTGGAAGCTGCGGGGAAGGTGGACTCGCACTCGTGACTCTTGGCGCAAGAAGTCCCTTGACATCATGCCGCCCTAGCGGCCTGCCTCGTCTTACCTGTGCGCTGGTTCTAGCCTGTCCACACCTGCACAGCCCCAGGGCAGGCCTCTGCAATGTGTAGGGGGAAAGCTCTCTCCGATTACACTGCTATTTTAAAGGGGTTTCTGCATAATGCGGTTTTGAGGACGTGTTCTGGGGGAGGGAGCAGAAAGGGAAGTCTGCCCACACCTGGCCACTGCCCCGGGGGATGCTGGGATAGCTCAGTCCTCCCAAGGCAGACGTGTAAAAGCTTGCAAGCAACTCTTTTATCCCGAGTGCTATTTATTTGTTGCATGGTGCCACTGAGACACATGAGGAGTGCGAAACCTCTGGCCCTGGGTCCCGAATGTGGCCCTCCAAACTGAAAAGAATGTATTCCATTTGTTGCTCCACCTACTTTTGCCCTGGCCCCGCCCCCCGCTGGCATTCGGCCCCCAGAGAAGGTAGTCCCCAGAAGGGAATTTGGCCCTCAGGCGAAAAACACCTTTCCCAGGTCTGATGTTCACTTTGCAGGGGAACAGAAGCAGAGGGGATGGTCCCTGCCCGGGAGGAGCTTACAAAACTTGAAGATGTGCATTTTAAAAAACTTCTCCTCCAGGAAGTGCTTCAGGATAGTTAGAGCATGAAGCTAGATCAGGCCCCCCCCCCACACGTCTCTCTTTGTCCCCTCTTTCCGCAGATGCTGGGATCCCAGCCCCACGCTGCCTCCCCACCGCCATAATTTCCTTGTGATGTTGTGCAATTGTCTTTTAAGACCCGGATGCCCTTGGAGAGAAAGGACACTTGCCTCATATTTTGCAACACTACGTGAATGTGCTCACAAGCGCATTTTCCCACCTCGCGCACTCAAATGAGATTTCACAAGCATGTAAAAACTCAGCAAAAGCTCACAGTTCAAATGCACCCACTTAAAAAAAAAAAAAAACCACAACTCGGAACATTTTTCAAGGGGCAGAAGTTCAGCTTTAATACTTTTATTTGAAAACAAACAAACCTACAACCTTCAAAAGCCAACCTCTAAACCTTTACATCTTATTGATGAATTCTTGAGGCAGCCGTGCTCATCTTGATCGTATTTACACTTTTGACTTTTCTCTCTGCCCGCCCCCTTCCCTCCGCCCAACCGGATCCCTAATCAGAAAGAATCTCATTTGGGTTTTGGGATGGAAAGAAACCCACGTTGTGAAACTTTTTGAGACACACCAATTGGCCCCCAGGCCTAATGCACATTTGTGCAGGTTGGGATTTTGACAGGACAGCTAACCTAATTCTGTCATCCTGACTCTCGGATTAATTTATGCACCAGTCCTTGCAGAAAAGCATATATTTGCATACACCAATTTAGAAGGGGTGTGTGTGTGCGAGTGCCTTTCAGCTGCCCCCTCCTCCTCCTCCGCCCCCCCCTTCCCCAGATCGGAGAGTGCCAAAAAAGAAAATACACACACAAAACAACCCAGGGTGCCTCTTGCTAAATATTGTATGCAAATCACATACAAATGAAGCCCTAAGTGCGTTGCAGGATTAAACAAAAGCAGGGAGAGGAGGAGCATTAGTCTGTATATTCACCCCCCCTTGTCTCCCCTTTTGCCCTTTAGAGGAAAGAGAGTGGGGGGGGGATCAGGCCTCCCCCCCCTTTTTTTTTTACAAAAGCAGCTCCCCTCCAGACCACGCTGGAAATCTGTTGTCAAAACCAACCTTAACCTTCTCTTCACCCGCCCCCCTCTTTTCTTCCTGGATGTTAACAGGATTCTCATCAACCAGTTTAGCAAATATTTGATGATGGGGAGCTGGAGAAGAGAAGAGGAAAGGGGGGGGGCGAGGCAGATTTGATAAGAGGAAGGCGCTGAGGGGGGAAATTATTGGGGGGGGGACGGTTTACAGATCGGGGCTTGAAGGGCATTAGCCCAAGCTTTGGTGGGTGGGTTGGGGGGGGAGAGGGAGGGAGAGGAGAGGAGATCCGCCAGCGCCTCCCCCCCCCCCGCTGCGCAGGGTAATTTAAAGCGCTGCCTGTCACTGTGCTTCTCGTTTTATTGACTCTGGCTGCCTCCCCTGTCACCCCTAGACATTAATCTCCCCGTTAATCGCCCTGCGCGGAGCCCCTCCCCCCCTCTGCGCCTGCAGGACCCCCCCCCCGCCTCCTCTATGGGGAGAGAGAGAGGACCCCCCCCCAACAACCTCTCCTCCGCCTCCTCTTCTTCCCCCTTTCTTTTCTTCCATGGTCTGCCTTTGCCTTCTCTTAATATATATCCAGAGGATGCAAACATCATCACCCCCCCAATGCCCCCTTTCTCCTCCATGAATTTATTCCTCATTGGGTTTTCATTCCTCTTTCCCTCTCCATCTCGGCACTTTCTCTCTCTCTATCCCCCCCCAAGCCAAATCCTTCCCCATCCCCTCCCTCGCCCTTTTCATCTCCTCCATTTCTCTCTCTCTCTCTCTCTGCTGCCTTCTTCTCTCCTCTCCCTCCCTCATCTGTCACGCTTTGTCCTTTGCATTCCCTCCACTTCATCATGCTGGGGTTGCCCCCCCTTATTTCTTCTCTCCCCCCCCCCACACAACATCCTTCCACTATCTGCCTCCCCCCACCCCCCCAAATCCCACTTTGGCCGTGGCCTCTGTTACCTGGATGTAAGACCCACTGACCCAAGGAAATACATCCTTCTTAGGATTGGGGCCTGCATCTCTCTATATACTATATGTATTTTCCTTCTCCTTTCTGCCTACTCCAATACCCCCCCTTTCACTCCCATTCTCTCTCTCCCTTTCTCATTCCTATTCCATTCTCTACATCACGCCTCCTGCACTCTCATATCTCATTTTTCTTCCTCCTTTTTTTTCTTCCTTTCTTCCCGTTCTCTCTCTCTTTCATCCCTCCTTTTCTCTCTCTCTCTGTTCTCCCCCCCCCCACAATGCAATCCCCAACCAACCAACCAACCAACTCACCCCCCCTCCCCACCAAACGCCTTTGTGTCTCTGGCTCCCTCATAATAAATATGCAGCAGCCGCCTAATTATGTCTCCCGCCTCCTTTTCTCCTTAATGAGACAATTTGCATTGACTAACCACCCTCTGAAGGGGGAGGGGAAGAGAAAAGGCATTGGGGGGGGAGAGAGAGGAAGGGCGCAAGAAAGCACATTTCCTCTCTTTCTAACCCCCCCTCCCTCGCCACCAATTCTTCCTTCCTCCATTACAAGCGGAGGAATGAACAGAAAATATTAAAAAGTTAACAGGGTGTCTTTCCTCCTGGGACGCAAAGATAATAATGTTAAAGGGCTGAGGTGGGCGGACGACCAAGGGGGGGGGTGTTGTGTGTGGAGGACAGACAGGAGGGAGGAGAGGAGAAGCTGGTTGTGTGGAAACTGGGGAGGCAGATGTGGGCACATGTGGGCCTCGGGTTCAGGTAGGGCAAAACATGGCTCCGGCCCGAAACCTTGCCAAGCTGTTGCCAGCCAGAGCGGACACTATTGAGCTTGCTGGACTAGGAGTGTTCCCACGTGAAGGGATTTTGGGGGTGCGCGTGTGTTGGGTTGTGCGGCTGGTATCTTTGCCACCCCAACTCAGTCTCCACTCCCCGTCGAAACCGGTTTGAAGCCTGTTTGGTTGCCATGGCTCCCACTACTGATACAGAGGGTGGTATTTGTGGCGGGCGGGGGCGAAGGAATATCTCCTCTCCTTGCCCCCCTCCAATTATCTTCAATTCCCAGCATCCTGGGGGGGGGGGAGGTCATGCCAGCCCACACTTAATTTGGCTGGGGCTGCCGCCCCATGAAAAGTCAAACGAGGGGGGGTAGGGATTTTCAAGAGGGAATACCCCAAGTTTCATTTCCCTGAGGGGCAAACGTCCCCCCTCCCCACAAACTTACAGCGACTGACAATTATTTAGAAAAGCATTCATATACCAGCCTCTCAGCAAACATCAGGGGGGTATAGAGCAAAAATAAAAAAAAAACAATTAAAAGCAACCACAACAAAAACCACCATGGCAAATGTTGGGATCGTCCAGTAGTCTAGTTCTGGGATAGAGCATCACTGGCCCTTCAGAGGTTGAGCCAGAACTCAAATCATCCCTAACCATTGGTCATGCTGGCCGGGGCGTGCTAAAGTTGGGTGTGCAACATAACTCAGAGGCGCGCATGTTCCCCCACCTCTGATCTTGGTTCGCTTGGATTCACTATTGGGGGGGGGGGAGAGCTGAGAAACTCTTGCATGGAAACTCTCCCGCCTTGTCATGGTTGGGTTAGTGGTGTGTCAGAACGTTAGCTTAAGAGAGGATTTGGAGCTGGATAAATGGATGAGTCATGTGGTTTTTTTGGGCAAAGGGTTGGCAGGGACAGGTATGTCAAGTTCACGGGAGTTGGCAGGGTTGAGGTTCACGGCAAACAGAGATGGCTTTTACGCAGAAAGCACCGCCGATCTGTGGAACGCAACGCCGCAGGATATCGCGGTTGCTGCTGCTGTTCTCTGCCTCCGCCAAAGGAATGGCAGATCTGTGAAGGACGGGTCGGCTTTTGACACCTGCTAGTCCTAACTCCTGGAAGAGCCTCTGCCCTTGTCCCTCTGAGCTGTAGAATCACAGTTTGGAAGGGTGGCGGACATTTGAGCTAATACAACCTTCCTGGGAAGGGATATTTGCTGAAATAACATTACAAATCAGAGCGTTCTGTGTAATCTGTGTTTCGGTTTATTAACAATTTTTAAGGAAGACCAGCTTGCTTTATTCTATAAGGTGGGGAGTGGGTGGGTGGAGAGAAAGAGATAAGTGGATTGACAAGTAGACAAGCGGGTGATATCTAGCCTTGATGTGTTGTGACTGAAGGAAACGGAAACAAAAATGAGGTGTTTTATAGGGCCTTTTTGGTGGTGGCTCTGAAACTTTCTGGATCTCTCTCCCAAGACCCTGCATTCAGAAAACAGCGTTTGTTCGTTTCGGCTTTTTTGCTGAAGAAGTTTTTATGCCTCTGGTTTTGACTGCTGCCCGGGATATATTAGAATGTCACGTCGAATTGCTTTTTGGGGGAGAAACTGAAAAGAGGATAATGAGGATATTGGCGCTGTGTGATGGAGGAAGGTGCTTAAAATGTACAGCAAACGCACTCGTCTTAAGTGAGTAGACCTGCGGGTGGACTTGGGGTGAGGGTGGAGTTCGAGTGCTGCGGTTTGCCCTCCCTAACAGGCTGTGGGCCCACACCTACGCGTGCCGCCGTCTGGCCTGGGGAGATCTGTAGATAGGTGTGCGTATGCGTGGCCTTAATTTCAAACCTAAAGCTTTTCTTAAAAGCCCGCCCTCTCTAATCCTGGATGTCTGGGGAATTAGCTTTGGCTTCTCAGCAGTGAGGAACCAGGCATCTTGCGGATGCTCACATGCAGTGCTCTGCGTACAGTGTTAGAAACTGAGATACGGACGCGAGGAGCTGAATGGCACCTTAAAAGTAGGTTATGGGCGCAACAACGGGATGTCTAGGCGTGCTTTTTTACAACAAGAATACAACGCTGAAAATGAATGAACTGCAACTAAAATATTATGTGCATTTTTCACATCATCTCGTCCTTCTCCTGCCTACCCCCCTAATATTCTTCCGGGTGGCGGACGGACGGCGAAACTGACCCCCCTAATATTCTTAAGAGGGTCTCTTCTCCAGTCTTCAGAGAGTGGCTGGAAGTGGGGAGGCAGAAAAAGGTCCTCCTTTCCTTCCACTCTGCAGTTTTAATCTGAAATCTTAGGCGCAGCGCTGTGCCCAGAGCTCAGAAGCTAATGAGATTCCCCGTCGCAAAATGCGCCTAGGACGACGGGAGTTTCAAGCGATGTCCACGTAAGGGGTGAATTGAGTGCCAGGAAGGTGGGAGGATGAGGTGGCCGTCTGAACGTGGGAGGAAATGGAAACTGCAAGTGGGGCTGGGCAGTTGCCAGGAGAACCTATTCCTGCCTCTGACGGGCTGAGGAGAGAATGTGGGGATGGGTGCATTTGCCTAGTGCTTGTACGCTGCAGAATGGAAGGATTCCTGTTTTTCCTTGCCTCCTCCCCCACTTTTATCAGCTGCTGGCATGCTAAGCTATTAATTTGCATTGCAAATCCTTCCCCAGCCCAGATCGAGAAGAGGAGCCTTTTGCCTTTTCCCCCTTTCCAGTAGCCGGGCTGTTTGCCCAGAGTTTTTGCAATTGCCCTTCCAGGAGTCCCTGACCCACCCACCTCCACCCTGCCATAACCAGATCTCCTCTCCCCATATTGGGAGCTGATTTAACACAAGAACGGGCATGCAGCTGGAATAAGTTCCCATTCTCGAAGCTGGGACCTTTTGCACATAAAAGAAGGCACTATATCCCTGAGCTAGGAGTATAAGAACTACCTTATATCTCAATAAGCCTATCCCTGGCCTGCAACGGCTCTCCACAAAAGGAGTATTTCTTGTCCTCTGCTGGTACTTCAAAACTTGAGGGGCCCTGGAATTGAACCTGGACCTTCTGCAAGCATAGCATGCGCTCCACCGCCGAGCTGAGGTCCCCTCCCGTAAAGTTTGATTGGCAGGGACCCCAAGACATCCCATGATATTACAGTCATCAGTGAGAGAGCAGGATATGAGAATGCTCCTCCAGAGTATAATTTGGGGGCAAGAGTGGTGGAAGCTGTTTCAGGTGTTTGCACAATCACTTTGCCCATCCAGAAGCGGGATAGGATGGAGATGAGGAAGAGGTTGGTGGCGGGTGCAAGCAAGGCTTGTCTAGGAAAGGGATGCAGCTCCGTGGTAGAGTATCTGGATGGCATGGAGAAAGATCCACGTAGAGCTAGGAGAGAACCCTGCCTGAAATCCTGGAGAGCAACTGCCGGCCAGTGCAGACAACACAGAGCTAAACAGATCACTGGTCTGACTCTGTACAGTTGTACCTTGGATCTCAAACGCCTTGGCTCCTGAACAAATCAGCTCCCAAACGATCGAAACCCGGAAGTGAGTGTTCCTGTTTTTGAACGTTCTTTTGGAAGCCAAACATCTGACAGGGCTTCCGCAGCTTCCGATTGGCTGCAGGAATTTCCTGCAGCCAATCCGAAGCCGTGCTTTGGTTTTCAATCGCTTTGGCAGTCGAACGGACTTCTGGAACAGATTCCGTTCAACTTCTAAGGTACGACTGTATAAGGAAGCTTCGTATGTTCCTACTCAATTATGCTAAAGTCACTTTAGATGAAGCTACCTTCCACACCATATATTTAAAGCAGTATCATTTAGGCAGCCATGGCTTCCCCCAAAGAATTCTGGGAGCTGTAGTCCGTTAAGGGTGCAGATAGTTGTTTGGAGACTCCGATTCTCCTCCCAGAGCTACAATTTTCAGAGCGGTTCAACTGTCAATCCTTCTTCACAAGGAACTCTGGGAACTGTAGCTCTTGGGGCACCCTTAAACTACAGCTCCCAGGGTTCTTTGAGAGAAGCTGTGTGTGGTTATGATACTGCGTTTAAACGTGTGGCATAAATGTGGCCTCCAGCTGCTTTGCACACCAAACAGTCCAACACAGGGGGAATTCAGAACGAGAAACAAGATTTCACACCTGGCTGCCTTTCTTTCTGTTTCCCCTTCAGGGTCTCGGCTCCCGTGCTGAGATGACCCCTCCGCACCCCTCGCGCCCGCACCGCCATGGACGCCCCCTTTAACTCTGCCTCCTCCTCCTCCTCCTCCTGCTCCGCTGCTGCCCCACCGGCCGACGGGCAGGATGACAGGGCCGCGCCTCGGCCCGCTCAGGACTCTCCTGCCTCTCCAGCCACCAAAGAACCCCCCCTCTCGGACCCTTCCTCCTCCTCCTCTGATGCCCCCTCTCCCAACGACACCATGAGGCCCTGCTCCGGTTCCCAAGCGGCGCTCGGCTCCGCGAAGCTCCCGGCCGCCATCTTGCCCGGGCCTCTCCTCCAAGCCGACTGCGGCCTCGTGACGCCAAACCCACCACCTTCCCCGCAAGCAGCGCCACCCGGAGAAGATGGGAAGAAGCAAGAAGCAGAAGGCGGCGGAGAGGGGGAAGAGGACGGCGGGCGCAAGGCCCCGCTCTTCTTCTCCGCCGAGGGCTCGGCCTATCTCCTCAGCGGCGGCCACGTTCTCTTACCAAAGGGCTCCCTAAGCACCACATCTCCCCAGGTGTCCGTCCTCCACGTCCAGCGCGGTGGAGGCCCAAACCAAGGCTTTACGTCTACTGACCAAATGTCCCAGAATACCTCAGCGCCAGGCGAGTGGACCCCTCACGGCGCCTTCTACAGTTTCCGACTGGCCAGGGCCCCCCCTCGAACCATGTCTGCCAAAAACGCTCCCACCAAACCCAAAGATACCCCTGCCGCCGCCCTGGCGGAGGACGAGGAGAACCTCAAAGGGGAAGCCGACCTTGGCCGAGAAGGGGAGCTGCCGTGCCCACCCATCTGGCTTTGCCTGATCTGCCGCCTCTCCTTCTGCCGGGGGCGCCCCTTGGCGGCTCACGCCCGCGTAGCCCACGGGGCGCAGCTGAGCCCCGACGAATGCCAGGCCCTGTCTGGAGGGGCTTCTGCCGTGTTCCAAGGCACCGCGCTTGGCTTCCTTGAACCAAATAAGCCCACCACCAAGGCAGACCTCAATGTCCGAATGTGTAGCAGATGGGTGAATGTAACGGAGGAGGAGGAGGAGGAGGAAGAGAAGAAGAAAAAGAAGAAGAAGGGGAGCCCAGGAAAACCATGCGAGCCACCAGATGCCAAAGAGTCAAGGGTCGGCGGCGAGCCCTGGGCAAAGAGAGGCGCGGAGGAGAAACCAGAAGAGGAAAAGGAGGAAGAGGAGGAGGAGGCAGCAGCAGTGGCGGCCGAAAATCAGAAAGAGGAAGGGAGGCTTCTCCCAGACCAAAGCTCACTCGGCCAAAGCTCACCCACGGGTGCCAGCACCCCCCTCTCAGAGATGCCGCTGAAGAAGGCCAACAGCAACGACGCTGCAGCTGACGTAGGGTTGCCCAAGGAAGATGCCAATGCAGAGTTGGCCAACGAAGCCGTTGGGTTGGCCAACGAAGCCTCCAGTGCAGAACTGGCCAGAGACACCGCTCGCGCCGAGTCCGCCGGTGGGACGAACAGCTCCGGGCTGGGCACCAAAGTGAACAACGACAGCCCAGCCAACGCCAACCCGGACACCGGTCGGGTTGGGTTGACCCACGACGCTGGCACAGCCGACTTGACACATGGAACCGTCAGTGTTGGGATGGCCAGCGAGATGGTGAGCGCCACGTTTGAGGTCAACAACGGGCTGAGTGGTAGCAGCAGCAGCCACAACGGAGGGCACTCGCTTTCCTTTGGGGAAGACTTCACCGCCATGGCCTACTCGGGGTTGACTTTGTCCGGCCACATGTCCTTGCTCCACTCCCGCAACTCCTGCAAGACCCTCAAATGCCCCAAGTGCAACTGGCATTACAAGTACCAGCAGACCTTAGACGTCCATATGAAGGAGAAGCACCCCGAGAACAACAGCCACTGCGCTTACTGCAGCACCGGCGGGCCGCACCCTCGCCTGGCCCGGGGCGAGAGCTACAACTGCGGCTACAAGCCCTACCGCTGCGAGGCCTGCAACTATTCCACCACCACCAAGGGTAACCTCAGCATCCACATGCAGTCCGACAAACACCTGGCCAACCTGCAGGGCTACCAGGCCACGGGGGGAGGCGGCGGGGCCCCCTCGGTGGCGGCCCCGGTGGCACCCACCCCGTCATCGCCTGAGGAGAAGGAGTCGAAAGGCAAATCCTCCTGGCAGTGCAAAGTGTGCAGCTACGAAACCAACATCTCCCGCAACTTGCGCATCCACATGACCTCCGAGAAGCACATGCAGAACATGCTCCTTCTCCACCAGGGGCTGCCCCTGGCACTGCCCGGGCTCCTGGGGCAGGCCCAAGCCGCGCCAGGGGGCAAGGGGCAGCCGGAGCTCTTCCAGTTCTATGGCGCCCAGGCCCTGGGCCACTCGCACCATGCACACCCCCACCACGCTCACGCTGCGGGCAGCTCAGCCCTGCGGGGGGACAAGCCCATGGAGCAAAGCCAGATCTTGCTCAATGGAGGCTTCCCACACCTCAACGCTGCCGCCGGCAGGAAGATGGCTGCCTTGGGCTCAGGTAAGCGATGGTCGCCTCCCCTCCCCAATCATGGCCACCGCTGCTTCTGTCCACATGGGATCTAAAGGCTGGGTGGGAGCCTCAATTAATAATGAACAGGCCTCTTGTGTCGTTCGTTCTCTCGCTTCCCTTATGGACCACATTCCCACAATACATTTAAAGCCCTGTGAACAGTCACGGCTTCCCACAAAGAATCCTGGGAGCTGTAGTTTGTTGAGGGTTCTGAGAGCTGTTAAGAGACCCCTTATTCCTTCCGCAGAGCTACACCTCCAAGGGCACGTTGGGGCAGCTGTGACTGTTTGAAGGGGTATCAAAGAGCTTTAAATGTGCTGTGCGAATGTGACCACAGTCTCTACTCTCGCTTTGTTGTTTTGTGGTCTGTGCAGTTTTTCTTTCCTCTCCTTTCTGTTTTGCTCCTCTCACTCGCTGCCTCCCCAGCTTTGTGCATATTGCCATTATGTAGTTTGTGTTTTTCATATTGCATTTTCATGTTGAGAACTGCCTTGAGATCTACGGATGGAGTGCAGCATGCGAATTTAATCAATAATAATAATGATAATTAATAATAAGGGACACGGGTAGCACTGTGGGTTAAACCACAGAGCCTAGGGCTTGCCGTTCAGAAGGTCGGCGGTTCAAATCCCCGTGACAGGGTAAGCTCCTGTTGCTCGGTCCCTGCTCCTGCCAACCTAGCAGTTCAAAAGCACGTCAAAGTGCAAGTAGATAAATAGGTACCACTCCGGCGGGAAGGTAAACGGCGTTTCCGTGCACTGTTCTGGTTTGCCAGAAGTGGCTTAGTCATGCTGGCCACATGACCCGGAAGCTGTACGCCGGCTCCCTCGGCCAGTAAAGTGAGATGAGCGCCTCAACCCCAGAGTCGGCCACGACTGGACCTAATGGTCAGGGGTCCCTTTACCTAATAATAATAATAATAATAATAATAATAATAATGTTTTGAAGTGTGTCTCCCTCTCCGTCCATAGGAAGTCATTCTGCCGCCCTTCTCCCCACAGCTCCTGCATCGCTCTCTCCAGAGCCCGCCCCACCTTCCCCACTGCCGCCCCACTCCGTGCCAGACCTGGGGGCTCCCCAGAGGCTGTTCGGGTGCCTGGTGTGCCAAGCCTTCAACACAGACAGCCTGGAAGCGCTCCTGAGGCACGCGTCGGCCCCCCGCTCGCTGCCCGAGGCCGAGTGGAAGGAGGTGTCGGGCGACTTGCACCGCTGCCGTCTCTGCGCCTACGGCACCCAGCTGAAGGCCAACTTCCAGCTGCACCTCAAGACCGACAAGCACGCCCTCAAGTACCAGCTGGCGGCCCACCTGCGCGAAGGGGGCAGCCTCGGGGCCCACATGGGGGCGGAGCTTCCGCTCGGCCCGCCCCTCCACCTGCACTGCAATCTCTGCGAATACGAGACCAACAGCAAGGAGAAAATGAGGCTGCACGTGGCGGGAGCCGGCCACCAGGAGGCGCTGCAAGGCTACAAGGTGCCGGGGTCTGAGGGGAGTGGGCGGGGCTTGTGGATGACACGGGGAGCGGCCTTCCTCCAACTCCCGCCAAAACGGGGGCGGAGCCAAGCTGTGCTTTTCAGGGCGTTCCTAACAGGAAGTGGGTGGAGCCAAGCAGAAAGGGGTGGAGCCACAGGAATGGGAGGGGCTTTAGAGGAATGGAGGTATGCCATAAGAGGAAAAAGGTAGGCATGAGAAGGGGCAGGTGGGATCCACTTCTCAGAGGGAGCCACCTGGAACGTTGAACGGACCCCATGTCCCTGCTATCTGCAATTCTTTCCTTCTCTCCCGCTAGTTCCTCCTGGAAATGGAGGCCACATCGGCAGCGCCGCCGGGCCCCGAACCCGCCCCGTTCCGCTGCCTCCTTTGCAACACGGACGCGCCGAACCGCCTGGCCATGATCCAGCACCTGCGCTCTCCCCAACACCGCGACTCCCATGGCCAGTGGCGCCTGCAGCTCCTCCAGAACGGAGAAGGCACCCCGGGCCTCGAGAGATACATCTGCTTTGCTCCCGCCAACCCCGCTGGTAACGGCCCTGCGGGTTGGCCATGGCGGGCACCCCGTGCCGCCGGAGAGGGTGGCAAACCCGCAGAAGGTTTGCACTGAATGAAGGGCATGGATGGTGGGCGGTGGGGAATAGCAGCAATAGTAGTAGGGGCTGAAATTTTGAGGGTTGACAGTTGGAGGAGAAGAAACAGCAATTCTTGCAAATGTTCAAAGTGGCAAGGCTGTGGGAGTTGGTTTTTTTTTGGGGGGGGGGAGAACTGAAGGTCGGATACCGAATACTCTTTCATTCCTCCATTGTCTGCCCGCCTTCTCTCCCCCCCTTCTCTCTTTCACACCCCCTTTGCTTCGCCACGTCTTCCCCTTTTGCTCTGCGTTTAATGCATGCCTGTGTCCGCAGATATTCAAGCGAGAAGCTGCTGAACGCTCCATCCTCCTCCTCTTCTTCCACCGCCGCCAACCTCCCTCTCCTTCTCTCCCTCCCCCTCCCCCCCCCAGCTTCATAATGGATTATGACAGATACTGGGGTGGTTGCCTAGCAACCCGCAGGAAGAATGAAGGAGAAGAGAAATGAGAAAGAGAGATGTAGGGACCGCAGCCGGGCGGGGGGGGGGGGGGAGGGAGAGGAAGAGAGGAAAAAGGGGAGAGAGAAAGAAATAGGGAGGGAGGATAGAGATCGCCTTTCCTCCCTTCCTCCCCTTCTCCTAGCTGGTAGCTGCCCTCATCCACCTCCCGTCAGGTGCCCAGGGCGGGCACACCCCCCCCCCACGTGATGCGAGTTGGCCTCGTTCCCAGCTTCAAATTTATCTTTCAAAACATTGTTGACCCTGCAAATGTTCCGCCTCCCCCTAACGCACACCTGAGAGTGTGCAGAAGTGTCAACAAGAACCAGCTGCATAAAATGCATTTAAAATGTGGGAAGGGGAGCTGTGTGGGTCGTGGGGAGGCTAGTGAGGGGGTCCAGTCCTGAGGGCAGACTCCAAGCCAAAAGATGGGAATGGGTGGCTTTGGCTGGGTGGGTAAAGCAGTCCTGGATAAGGGGATCATTTTTTTAAAAAAATTGAGCAGGGACCTTAGTGGAAGCGAGAGCATAGGATGCGGGTGTCCGGGGTGGGTGACTGCTTATGTGGGGGGCATATGGGGAGATCTGAAGCAGTTAGGACAAGGCAATAGGAAAAGTGTGCAAAACCGGGAAAGGGGGGGGGGTTTGCCGGATGAGAACACCCTGCCTTGTGAGAAATGGAGGTCTTAACATCTTGGCGGGTGTATTGAATAGTGTTAATTGAGTTGCCAATGGCAGTGAGGTTGCTACTGCCGGGCGGGAAGGCAAGTCCGTTCGATATTAACGATCCCACTTGGGTTGAGAGTTTAATTAGTCTCTGACGAGGATAAAGTCCTGGATCGTGCGTCACGCCGGCTCTCGCAGCGTCGGCGGCGGAATTCCCTCCTCTCTCGTCTCCCTCTCCCCCCACCCCACGGTTCCCCACCTTCCAAACTCCCAGGTGAAAGAGGAGGAGCAGGAATATCGGCCAGGCTATCTGGGTGGTGGAGGTCTCTGGAAGTTGGGACACAGCTCCCATCATTCCTGACTGTAGGCCACGCTGGCTGGGGGCTGGTGGAGTCCAGCAGCGTCTGGAAAGCCCGCCCCCCATTTCCCTTCTCCCTCCACCCCGCACCCACGTGTGGTTCTCTCCCCATCTCTAGGGAAAGAAACAGTGCTGGAGACCTTGGCCCCCGAAAAGGAACCGCAGAGTAAAGCCCAGGCGGCTGGTGAGTGACTCCTCCCCTCTTGTGCAAAGCCACGCCCACTGGTGAGGTTGCTCCGCCTTGAAGCCACGCCTACATTGCTGGCCACGCCCCCTAACCCCTCCCTCGTGGCGGCAGCCCACGCGAAAGACTCCTCCCATTCAGGGGTGCCAAACACCCCAAATGTTTGTGCCCCTCTTGATTGCCCCAGCGCCACCCTCGCTCAAGGAGGCGGTGTCCTGTTGAAAGGTACAGCGATCCCCAAGCAGAGGGGCTGTAGTACCAGGAATATGAGGAAAAGACCCTGCAATGCCTTCCCTCGGTTTTGAGTGTTGTCTAAGTGCAGAGACCCATTTTGTCACCGCGGCTTCTGCAAAAGGAATAATACCAGGGGTATTTGTGGGCGAGTCCCAGCAAGTCTCGCTCTCCGTGAGGCTGGCTGTTTTTATTATCCTTATTAAATTTATTACCTGCCTTTCTCCAGCTGGTCCCAGGGCGGGTTATGGCGATTTTTAAAAAAATTCAGCATTTCAAATATCTTGCGCTTGCAAGGAATAGGGATGGTTACATTGAGGGGGGGGGCCCGCCAAGGCATCCTTTTAAGGGTGCCTGATTCAATGCCCCCCCATTCAGCTGTCCCCACTGCAGTGGGTGGGGGGGTGTCCTTGCCTGGTACCACCCCCAAGAGCCCCTCTCTCACCACATCCCTCCATCAGGCCTCAAAGCCCCTTGGAGCTTTTAACCGCCATTTTGAAAGTGTCTGCAGGAAAACACCATAACGTCCCCCCCCCGCTTTCTTTCCTTCCTGCAGGTTCTGACGAGACTGAAACGAAAGCTGGAGGTGTGGGAGACATTACAGTGAGTGGCGCTTATTGGGGGGCTTTGCGGGGGGGCAGAGGTGGGGGAATCACACAGTGTCTCTGAAGCCCCCGTCTCCTCCATTTTAACCCTCTCTCTACATGATTCAACGGCGGCAGCCTCAAACATCCCAGCGAAAATTCACTTGGCAGATTAGATTTTTTTTCTTGCTTGCTTGCTTGTTCCTGGTGGGGGGCCAAATGGTTGAATTAAAAACAGAAATTAAGCCTCTCTGCCTAGCGGGTGTGTGTGTGTGTGTGTGTGTGTGGTGTGTGAGAGATCCACCCTGATGAAACAAATTGGGCATGACCAGCTGTGAAATACACAATGTTAACCGTACCACTGCATCTTCAAAGCCTGTTTCTTGAATGGGATTGTCTGCTTATACTGGTCCCATCTTTATTAACATTGCATTGCCACGCATCCAGGGGTTTGGAAAACCCACTTCTCTCTCTGTTCTGACGCCACCCTTGCCCAGCCCAGAAAGGCCCGGGATTCTCAAGATGAAAACGCTGGCAAGGCTGTGCAGACGTGATCAGATCGGTCCTTGCAACAAGCCCTTCGATGTTAACTAGCGTTGGGTTTATTATGCCAGTTTTACAGCTGCCCCCCACTGAGCACACGGGCGCGGACCTGGCGGTCCAGGAAAGAAACAGAACCTCTCATTTTCGCTCGGCTCAACCCTTGACCCGCCTTGTCCTTTCTGCAGATACCAATCAGCCCTTAGGTGAAATCCTGACACAGACACTTTCATGTCTCTCTTTGATCATTCAGCCTAAGGCCTTTAAGCCACACGCATTCCCCGGTCTGCCGCTTGGGGAACTAGCTTGTTTGCGTGTAAGAAAAGGCAATATTTTGGGGGGGTGGGGAGGGGAGAGAGTTTATTTATTTTATTCCGAAGATGGCCCAGAACCAAGATGAGCAGGTGGGAGCAAGCATGTGTCAGCTCCATCTTTTTAATGATTACTAATCGCCCTTTGTGATTTCCCTATTAAAAACTTTTTGTTTTCTTTCGTTCTGCCTACACCGACACGCCTCCTCCCTCAAATCCTCAATAAGATATATATGCAAATCCCCCTTTCCCCCCAGGTGCCAGGAAGAGACAGCCTCCTGCTTCCTGGAGCTAACGTTTTCTTTTCTCGGACTTTCATCTCTCTCCCCCCCCCCCTTCACCTTCTTCCGGCCAAGCAGGTGTTCTGCTGCCCCTACTGCAACTACACCGACCAATCAGCCGAAGCCGTCCGGGCTCACACCGTCTCCCAGCATGCCGTGCAGCCCAAATTCCGATGCCCGCTCTGCCAGGAGCAGCTGGTCGGGCGCACCAACCTCCACTTCCACCTCAGCCACATTCACAACGTGGTGCCCGAATGTGTGGAGAAGCTGCTTCTGGTGGTGAGTTGCTGGCTCAGTGGGCAGCTCTCCCTGCCCCTCTTCCCTGCCCCGCTTAATGTTGGAAGCATATTAAGGGTGGAGGGGATACAATCGCAGAAAATGCTTTTTCATGTGCCACTAACCCTTTGCAGGTAATTCAGCAGGTGAAGCTTTTCCTTCTCTGGAAAGCTTCACCTGTTGAGTGTGTGCCCGTCACGCTGCTGTCAAAGAGATGGGGACTGCTTGACAAAAGGGGCTTGGGAAGATGTGGGGACCCAGTGGTGAGGACAACAGGGGGTTATTGGGTTCTTGTTTTTATTTTGATTACAGTGGTACCTTGGTTCTCAAACTTAATCCGTTCTGGGAGCCTGTTCCAAAACCAAAGCATTCCACACCAAGGCACACTTTCTCAAAGAAAGTAATACAAAACGGATTAATCCGTTCCATACTTTTAAAAACAACCCCTGAAACAGCCATTTAACATGAATTTTACTATCTAACGAGACCACTGAGCCATAAAATGAAAGCAATAATCAATGTACTGTACTATAAAATAAATAAGACAGTATTGTAGATGATAAAAACTAAAATTACTATTTTTTCTTACCTCCACTGATGTTAGTCATTGTTTGGATGGGGGGCTTTTAGCCATTTCCGCAGTCACACAATCAATCCATCAGTAGCTGAACTGTCACAAAAACAAATTAACTGAAAAAGCCTCAAAAAAGAAAAACCACAAAATAAATAGCAAAAACAAAAGTGCCAAACTTAATCCGTTCTGGAAGTCCGTTTGACTTCCGAAATGTTCAAAAACCAAGGCGCGGCTTCTGATTAGTGCAGGCACCCCGGCAACAACAGTCGCATTGGACGTTTGGCTTCCGAAAAACATTTGAAAACCGAAACACTTCCAGGTTTTCAGAGTTTGGGAACCAAGGCATTTGAGTACCAATGTGTTTGAGAATCAAGGTGCCACTGTATATATCTTGAGGTTTTATATTTTGATTTTGTTCTGTGAGCCAACCTGAGACCTCCAGGTATAGGGTGGTACAGTGGTACCTCGGGTTACATACACTTCAGGTTACAGACTCCGCTAACCCAAAAATAGTACCTCGGGTTAAGAACTTTGCTTCAGAATGAGAACAGAAATCGTGCTCTGGTGGCGCAGCGGCAGCAGGAGGCCCCATTAGCTAAAGTGGTTCTTCAGGTTAAGAACAGTTTCAGGTTAAGAAAGGACCTCCGGAACAAATTAAGTACTTAACCCGAGGTACCACTGTATATAAATTCTAATCATGATCATTATCATCCCTCATTAGGAGGGAGGTGTTTGTGGCTCCACCGTCTGGTGAGCTTTAGCCTGTTTCCACCATTCGTAAAATGGCCGCAGCAGCATTTTGTAAATACTTTATAAATTGGGGAGTGGGGAAACCTGTGGCCCCTAGTTCTGCATCCCTGCTCCAAATGATCACTAATAACTGGCTCCCCTCTTCCCCAGCCCGCCTTTGGCTCATATAATTCTGCCTTTTCTTCTTCTTGCCCTTCTCTCCAGGCCTCTACTGTGGAAATGACCTTTGCCACCAAAGTTATCCCTGGCCTCAACCTCCCTCCTGACCCACTAAAGCCCGGCGGGACGCCCAGCTCAGAGCAGGGAGCTGGGAACGAACCTGAAAGCCCTCTTGCTGGTAAGTAGTGTGTGGACTGCAAAGAGAGGGGCTTTCAGCTTTCACCCGCTAAGGGTAGCATCAAGATGCCAGGGATTTTGTGGCAGCCTGCTAGACCCTAACCTCCCCAAAAAATTAAGCAGGAAGAAGCAGCTACTGGCAGGACTAATCAGGCTTTGCCGTGCCTATCTGAAGCTTCTCTGTCTGGAGGGCATGAGGACTAGAAACCTGCTTCTTGGGAAACTCATAAGGCTTCTTAGGATGCCACAAACGAAGCAGTACAAACGCAATCCAATGGTGCACTGACAGAAGCAAAGCATATTAAGTAACACAGGGCAGGGGCTGTAAACTCCCCAATTATTCAGCCCTCCTAGGTATCAGAAATTGGGAATGAGGTCAAGGCAGTACTTGTCCTGCTCCATTTGAACGCACGCACACCCTACAAAAATTCAAGCAGCTAATGTACACAGATCTACATTTACAGATGAGGCAGGAAGCATCAAGGTATGGAAAGCGTCATGGATAAAAAGACTCAGAATTCCCCCCCAGGCAGTGAGGCCTGCATTTTGCCAGGAAACACACCTGCTCTTAGCAGGTGCCCCTGGGGATTCCCAGCTGTTTTTGGACAAACCCTCTAGCAAACACCTAGAATTGTGGGGTTGGGAAAGACAGGCCAAGCACCATAGAATCGAGGGATTGTAGAGTTGGGTCTCTTCCACAGACAGGGCCAGAGTGACTGTGGTGCCAGCCTCCCTGCCCCTGGAGATGCCTGTGGTTCCGGGGGGAGGACGAGGAAAGGGACCACAACGATCACCTAGTCCAACTCTCTGCAATGCAGGAGTCTTTTGCCCAACATGGGGCTCGAACCCAAGACCCTGAAATTAAGAGTCTCGTGCTAGTTGCTGTACTATTTGCGATCGACTGTGGCAAGCTATGCTTCTGCACCTAGAACCTCCATGTGCACACACAAATACATCCTGGCTAGTAAAGGTAAAGGGACCCCTGACCATTAGGTCCAGTTGTGACCGACTCTGGGGTTGCGGCGCTCATCTTGCTTTATTGGCCGAGGGAGCCGGCGTACAGCTTCCGGGTCATGTGGCCAGCATGACTAAGCCACTTCTGGCGAACCAGAGCAGCGCACGGAAACGCCGTTTACCTTCCCGCCAGAGCGGTACCTATTTATCTACTTGCACTTTGATGTGCTTTCGAACTGCTAGGTTGGCAGGAGCTGGGACTGAGCAACGGGAGCTCACCCCATCACAGGGATTCAAACTGCTGACCTTCTGATCGGCAAGTCCTAGGCTCTGTGGTTTAACTCACAACACCACCTGCGTCCCTGTTACATCCTGGCTAAGGAGCGACAAAACAGGCTGCGGAGAAAACTGATGGTAGTTTCTCTCTCTCCTTTTTCTTTCTCTCTCCTACATCAGCACCACTCACAGGGGAGAAATCCTCTCCGGCTCCTGTGCTTGGCCCTGAAACTCCTCCTCCTCCAGCCTCCCCTGCTCCACCTGCTGACCCCCCAGAAAAGCCACCCCCAACCTCTTCTCCACCTCCTCCTCCACTGCCGCCACCACCACCTCCTCCTTCAGTTGCTCCTCTGGAGTTTGAAGACGAAGATTCTCCTCAGCTGAACGCCCCGTTGGAGGAGCCGCCGCCGCCACCGCCACCGGCTTCAGCCGAGGCTCCAGAGGCCTCTCCGCTCGCCCTGCCCAGCCAAGACCCCCGGCACCCGCTGTCCTACCGCAAGGCGACCAATTTCGCCTTGGATAAGTTCCTCGACCCGGCCCGGCCCTACAAGTGCACAGTGTGCAAGGAGTCCTTCACGCAGAAAAACATCCTCTTGGTGCACTACAACTCCGTCTCCCACCTGCACAAGATGAAGAAGGCCTCGGCCGACCCCTCCGCGCCCTCCCGGGGCGAGCCCGGCGCCGCCGGCGTTCTCCAGCCCTCCTCGGACAAGCCCTACAAGTGCACCACCTGCCGGGTCTCCTACAACCAGAGCTCCACGCTGGAGATCCACATGCGCTCCGTCCTGCACCAGACCCGCTCCCGCGTCGCCAAGATGGAAGCCGCCGGCAAAGCGGAGCTGCCAGCCGCCGAGCCGGATCCCCCGTGTGAAGCGCCGCTGGAAGCGGAAGCCCCCAAGCTCCTGGAGGCGGGCTGCGTGCAGGTGCCCACGCTCCCGTTCCTGGCGCCGTCTGCAGCAGAGCTGCAGCGCTTCCCTGCACCGTTGTTCACTCCGCCGCTGCTGCCGCCCTTCCCACTAGTTCCAGAGTCGCTCCTGAAACTCCAGCAGCAGCAACAGCAGCTGCTGCTCCCCTTCTACCTGCATGACCTCAAGGTAGCTCCCAAGCTGGCTTTGGCCACCCCGGCACTGACCCTCCCGGCCACGCCACCCGTGCTGCTGCCACCTCTGCCAGCCAAGGAAGAGCAGGCGCCAGCCGCCGCTGCCGGCTCCAAACCGGAGGCGCCAGAAGAGGCCGAAGCTGAGGAGGCCGAGGGGGGCCAGCAAGGGAGCGAGGCATCCCGGACGGCTGCCAAAGCCCTCCTGGAGAACTTTGGGTTTGAGCTGGTGATCCAGTACAACGAGGGGAAGCAGCCTGCCGCCCCTGCCCCGGCCGCACCTCCGCGCCCGCCGGCGGGCAAGCTCTTGTGCGGCGCATGCGGGAAGCAGTTCTCCAACATGCTCATCCTGAAGACGCATGAGGAGCATGTGCACCGGCGGTTCCTGCCCTTTGAGGCGCTCAACCGCTACGCCGCCCAGTTCCGGAAGAGCTATGACAGCATGTATCCCCCGCCGCCGCCGGCACTGCCCATCGAGACGGCCACTGCCACGACGACTGCTCCAACCACTGCCACTGCCACAGACACCACCACAGTGACTGTGCCAGCCGCCCTGCCCCTGGAGATCCCCCCGCTCTGCCCTCCGTTTTTAATGCAGCCCATGCCAGTGGTGGTGCCGCCGCTAGAGAGCGAGACCCCCCACGTGCCTCCCGAGCGCTTGAAATCCTTGTGGTTCCGGGGGGAGGAAGAGGAAGGCGGCGGTGGGCCCGGGGTTCCCGAGCCTCTTCGCGGGGGCTTCCCATCCACCCGGCGCTTCTCCCGCACCAAGTTCACAGAGTTCCAGTCTCAAGCCCTACAGTCTTTCTTTGAGTGCAGCGCCTACCCCAAAGACGGCGAGGTGGAGCGGCTGTCTGCAATGCTGGGTTTGCCCAACAGAGTCATCGTGGTTTGGTTCCAAAACGCCCGTCAGAAAGCGCGGAAATGCGGCGGGAGTGAGGCCAGCGTGGGGGGTGGAGGTGCTGCGGTGCAGCCCTCCTGCAAGAAATGCCGGGCGTCCTTCCGCTGTATCTTTGAGCTCATGCGACACCTTAAAAAGTGCTACAACGACCAGCCGGTGGATGCGGAGGGAGAGGGGGCCGAGGAGGAGAACGAGGGCCCCGAGGAAGAGGAGCAGGAGGAGGAGGAAGAAGAAGAGCAGCAGCAGCCGCAGCAACAGCAGCCGCCGGAGCCTTCAGGGGCTGACGGAGAAGCTAAGATTGAAGGCACTGGGGACAAACCTCAGGAGGAGGAGCAACCCACAGCCCCTCCTGAAAGTGCAAGCACCCATCCCTGTGACCACTGCACAGCCAAATTCTCAAGCGCCGACCTCCTCAATATCCACCGTGTTTCTCACATGCCAGCAACCGGCCCTCCGCCAGCCCCGGTTGCCCCCCAGCCTCCCCTGGATTTGGCCCCGCTGGTGTTTGGCGACCGCCCAGATCCCTCCCGGGCGCAGAAGCGGAAGCACGAGGATGGGAGCTTGTCGCCCACCGGCAGCGAGTGCGCCAGCGTGGCGGGAGGGGACAGCGAGCCCCCCCGGGACAAGCGCCTGCGCACCACCATTTTGCCGGAGCAGCTGGAGATCCTCTACCGCTGGTACATGCAGGACTCCAACCCGACCCGCAAGATGCTCGACTGCATCTCCGAAGAGGTTGGGCTCAAGAAGAGGGTGGTTCAAGTGTGGTTCCAGAACACGAGAGCCCGCGAGAGGAAGGGTCAGTTTCGGTGCAACGCCAGCACAGCCAACGCAACCGGCAAGCCCTCGCCGGTGCTCCCCTCCGCCTTCCCAAAGTTCAGCCCTCTGCCGCGAGACCCGACCATCCACTACGGAGCGGCCTTCGCGCCCAGCCTCTCTGCGGTGAGCTTACAGCTACCTCCAGCAAAGCCAGAGATTCCTGCGGAGCCACAAGCGCAGGAAGAAGCAGCCGAAGAAGAATTGCCAAAAGAGAACGAAGACCGGAGCCTGTCGGGAGGGGAGATGAGCGACTCGTCTTCCTCCTCCTCCTCGTCGCTGGCCGATCTGGATTTCTCCGGCAGCCGGCGGAGCCGAGGGGCGGACGGCGGCTTTGGAGGCATGCACGACGCTTTGGGCCAGCGCCGGTATCGCACGCAGATGTCCAGCCTGCAGCTGAAGATCATGAAGGTTTGCTACGAGGCCTACCGGACGCCCACCATGCAAGAGTGCGAGGTGCTGGGCGAGGAAATCGGGCTGCCCAAGCGGGTGATCCAAGTGTGGTTCCAGAACGCCAGGGCCAAGGAGAAGAAGGCCAAGGCTGCCAGCGGTGGCGAGGAGGGGCATCCCAGCACTCCATCGCAGGCCGAGTGCCCCTACTGTGAAGTCAAGTACGATTTCTACGTGTCCTGTCGTGGGCACCTCTTCTCCCGCGGGCACCTCGCCCGACTCAAGGAGGCCATCAAGGCCCAGCTCAAGAGCGAGAGCAAGTGCTATGAGCTCGTGCCGGACAAAGGGACGCCATCCCCGACCAGGCTGGGTGCCTCCATGCCTCCCGCCACAGTGCCATCTTCTCTTGGAAGCATGGCTCCCTTTGCGCCAGGTGAGTGAGAGGTGGGAAGGAGAGGTAAGTTACGTTCCAAGGAGGTTGGGGATAGGGCCTTATCATTAAGCCATGTTACAGGTTCGCCACTCACTATGGGATCTTTCCAGACCCATATCTGCTTCGCTTCTCTCCAAAAGTATTGCTAGGTCTCCACATGCTGCTCTGACCCTAATCCCCACTTCTGCCATTTTGCGTGGAAGTTCCCAGGCATCATTTCCCCAGGCGTCATCTTTCTCTTCTCCCAACTTTTTCTTCTTCTTCCCACTAGCATAGCCTTTCCTTCCCCTGTCCTGTCCCCAAGGCTTCCATTGTGCACGTTGGGAATAGGTTGGGGTGAAAATGGCACTGGAATCTCCTCCTCTTCCCCCTGCATCTGGGGTGGTTCATTGAGAGTGGTAGTTGGTGTCTTGTTACCAGAATGAGAGGGCGTCCATCTCAGCAACCAGAGGAAGCAGATGTTGGGTTGTGGAATTGCAGAATTGTAGAGGATCATCTAGTCCAACCCCCTGCAAGACCCAACGTGGGACTCGAACCCCTAATAAATAATAAATAATAATAATAATAATAAATTTATTATTTATACCCTGCCCATCTGGCTGGGTTTCCCCAGCCACTCTGGGTGGCTTCCAACAAAATATTTAAAATCAGTCATTAAAAACTTCCCTAAACAGGGCTGCCTTCAGATGTCTTCTAAAAGTCAGATAGTTGTTAATTTCCTTGACATCTGATGGGAGGGCGTTCCACTACTGAGAAGGCCCTCTGCCTGCTTCCCTGCAACCTCACTTCTCGCAGTGAGGGGAACCACCAGAAGGCCCTCAGAGCTGGACCTCAGTGTCTGGACTGAACAATGGGGGTGGAGACCATAGCTGTCAACGTTTCCCTCTTATTAAGGGAAATTCCCCTATTCCGAATAGGATTTCCCTTAAAAAAAGGAAAAAGTTGAGAGCTATGGTGGAGACGCTCATTCAGGTATACTGGGCCGAGGCCGTTTAGAGCTTTAAAGGTCAGCACCAACACTTTGAATTGTTATTGGAAATGTACTGAGAGCCAATGTAAGTCTTTCAAGAGATTAACCCTGAGATTAAGAGTTTCATGCTCTCCAGCCTTCGCTATCCCAGGAGGGCTGGGCTCTCCCGTCGTCCTGCAAAGACTCTGTCCCTAAGGCTTTGAAGCAGGGAGCCAGTGGAGAATGGCAACATTGAGGAAACAGGTGGAGGCAGCACACCACTCACCTCTCTTTTCTCTCCCAACAGGCCCTTCCTCTTCCTCCTCCGGGGCCCTGAGCACCCCTTTGGCCTCCTCGCAGCCGGGGCCCCCCTTACCTCAGCACCTCACTCCGGAACCGGCCCAGCTTGGCCCCTCCACAGAGCCGGCGGCACCTGCTCCAGAGACTTCCCCGGGCGACGGCCAGGCAGACCCCGCCTCCAGCTCAGCCCAGGAACCCTCCGTGCCCTCCACTGCCGCGGTGAAGAACCTCAAGACGTTGAAGGCCGCCGTGCCGGCCTTGCTGGGAGGCCAGTTCCTGCCCTTCCCGTTGCCGGCGGCAGCCACGGCGGCAGCCCCCTCGCTCTTTGGGGCGCAGCTGCCCGGGGCCTACTTCCAGCAGCTCTACGGCATGAAGAAGGGGCTGTTCCCCATGAACCCCGTCATACCTCAGACGCTTATGGGGCTGCTGCCCAGCCCCCTGCTCCCGACGCCCATGCCCGAGCCGCCCGTCGAGGTGCCCGAGGCCCCCGGCATCTCCACGGTTGACGTGACTCACCAGTACCTCTGCCGCCAGTGCAAGGCGGCCTTTGAGAGCGAGGGGGCCGCCGCCGCCCACCAGGCCACTTTCTGCTACTTTGGGCGCCAGCCCCCCGCGGCCCCGCCCCCGCTGCGGGTGCCCGTGTGCACCTACCACTGCCTGGCCTGCGAGGTGCTTGTGAGCGGGCGCGAGGCCCTGGGGGCCCACCTTCGCTCCAGCGCTCACCGGCGCAAGGCCGGATCCAACGCAGCAACCGCATCGGTGTTTGCCAAAGAGGAATCCAAATTACCTCACTCGGACTCCAGCCCAAAAAGTAACGCTACCTCTACGACACTACTAGCTTTATAGAGACGGATGCTACACTGCCACCGACCGAGAGAGAAGGACTAAGCAACCAACCAACTAGCCAACCAGCCGGCGGAGGGAAGGGCGCCCGCTCGGCGTGCCCTGCGCCCTCTGCCCATACCAAACGCCCATCACGCAACCCCCCGCCACCAGTAAACTCAAGAAACGGCCCCTGGCCAAGGCGACACCCAGTTGCCTGAAGGCCACGCTCTTCCCAGACCCCTGGGTAGCCATGTGGGCAAAGCTGGACCCAGATGTTCAGCCGTCCCACCCCACTCCCCCAACCTCACCGCCATCTTGAGGGAAGACCAGTTGACCTGGTGCGGAACAGAAATGCCGCCTGAGGAGCCCCCCAACAGTGCCCACCTCAGAAATGCCTTGCGCTCTGCATGGAGTGCAGAAGCTGTTCTCCTCTGCCACCCACCGTGCCCCTCGCCCTCACGGCCCTGTGCATCGGCCGACGCCAGTTCCCAGGGTCTCTCCTCCCTGAAAGGGTTCCCGGATCCTGGATCCGACATGGGTGCCCAACCAATCGCCTTCCCGCAGTTCCTTCACACATGCCTGTGTATTCCAGAGTCTTCCACCTCCTGTGGCATACACATGTACCTCACATGAGAGAGGCACGAGAGGCTCTCACTCTCTATGGTTCAGGTCTCAGTGTCCTCCATGTTTTCCCTCAAGGGTCCCCAGGCATCTCAACAGGTGTTCCTTGGGATGCCGACCCCAGCGGAGAGGACCCCCTTCCCTCGCCCGCAAAGGCCACCGCGCCGTCTCCTCGTGTCAACGGGAGCTTCCCAGAATCCTTTGCCCAAAGTCCAACCCCTCATGTGTGCGAGAACCACACTCCTGCCCATCCCGCCCATCTCCACACACGCTTGTGACTGCTGCCGCACGCCCTCGTGCGAACCTGGTCTCCTCTCTCTCCCTCCCTCTCTCGCTCTCTCACACACACCTGCTTAGAGATCCTTCTCTCACTCTCTCTCACCTTCCACCCTTTTACTGTGTTATTACCGACTTGAGAAAGGCCAAAAAAAAAAAAAGCAAACAAAAATAATGGACGGAAAGAAAGAAAAGTTATTAACCCAAGGAAACAAAACTTAAGGGGGGGGAGGGGGGGCAAAGATGAGAAACTGAGTCCCCAACCCCACACCCCCAACCCCTCCTAGAGCATGTGCTGCCCATTGTGTATAATAATTCCCGCCCTGGACGGATGGACAGACTCCCGAACTTGTTGATGGATTTTGAACGACTTGAACAGCAACCAAACTGGGGAAGAAAGGCGCCTCTCCCTCTTCTTCCCCGCCATTTTTTCCCTCCTCTCTCTCTCTCTCTCTCTCTCTCCTCCTCCTCCTCCTCCTCGTCCCCAGTTGGGTCTCTGCCCGCACTGAGGAACCAAATAAAACTAACAACCTCGCTGTCTTTTTCCTCCTGATAGACGTGACTTCCGTCTCCGCGCGGGAAACGACACACACAAAAAAAACCCTACTCCGATGGCTTTAAAAAAAGAAAGAGAAGAAAATAATAATAATGATAAAATAAAACCAGAAGGATCCTCCCGTCTACACACACACAGTTACCTGCCACGTGCTGGTGTGCCGACGTCCTTGCAAAAAAAGACAAAAAGGAAAAAAAAAAAGAACACAAAAAACCCTCTTTATGAATCCAAAGCTCTTTAAAAAAAAAAAACTTCTATACAATAACCAAAAAGAAAACCAACAGTTTGAGAGAGAGACTACCCACCAACAAAAAGGAATAATAAAAAGCAAACTGGAAATAATTTTTTTTTAAAAGAAAAAGACATATGACGACGATGACGAAGAAGAAGAAGAAAAGTTACGCCCTCACGTTTTTCTTCCTCCTTTGTGTCCGTTCTTTTGGGGTTCCTTCTCCCGTTCTTTTCTTTCCCCAGCCCTGTCCCCCCCCTCTTCCGACCTGCCAAGTGTTTTTTAGGCCCTCTCCCACTTAAAACAAAGATGGACAAGAATTTTAAGAAGTTGATGGAAGTGGAAACCTGTGGGGTAGAGAAGGGGGGATTACAAAAAAAAGAATCCCCCACAAAAATAACCAAACGAACTACATTCGGGGCGTCCAGAGGGGGTGGGCTCCCACAGCAGCTCACCCTCCGAGACCACCCTGTTTTCCTCAGACTGCCCCCCTTCTCCCCACAACTCTGCACCCCAGAATGGGGTGAGGGGAAATGTCTTTCTGTTGTGTATTTAAAGGGGGGGATGGGGTACAATAAAAAATTAAAAAGAAATAAAAATTATATTAAAGAGATGGTCTGGGGGGGGAACATGCTTTTGGCAGGGTAGTGGTTGGGTGCATATATTTGTGGGGGGAGAGAGTAAAAGCACCGAAGAATAGACAAATATTGGATATTGATCGAAGGTCTCGCTTTTTCCTGTGAAGCAGGGAAAGTATAATGTGCACCCAAAACAACTTTTTAAAGAAAAATGTGAATTCCTTAATCTAGGGGTTTATTTGCACAGTGCTATTGAATGTGGGTTGTTATTATTTATTAAATCTATATAGCGGCCTTCGTCACAAGATCTCAGGGCAGGTTCACCGAATAAATTACAAGATAAAAACACAAGTAGATAATTAAAACAAAAGCAGTATCACCATCCCTCCCTTATTAACAAGGTGGATGCAGGACTTAGCTGTTTATGTTTTACTCGGGAACTGATCAGCCACATGCCTTGGGAAAGCAGTGCCACAAAACGGGCACACTAAAGATGTGAAGTCCTGTGGCACAGGAAGGCCACAATAAGGTTTTCTGTGTTTTTTTCTGGGTCCTCCAACACACTTGAAAAAGAGGGCACAGATTTGCATGACGTTTGCGTCTGCTTTGTGTCATTCCCGACCGGCAGAATTCGAACGCACCACTCTCCCCCCCAAAAAAATTGTATTTCCAAACTAGAAACAGCTGAACCTGCTTAATTTCTGCCTGCCACACAGCTGTTGAAGGCTGGCTTTCTCTCAATGCCACAACCCTAAGCCAAAACCTAGTCCTGTACCCAGTTACCTGGGAGTAAGACCTATTAAGCACATAGGTAATCCCTTCTTACATATACCACTATACTGCAAATTGCCTATACAGTGAATTCTTATTGCTTGTTGTTTATGCCGAAGCCTCTTTCTTTGCAGATTATTATTATTATTATTATTATTATTATTATTATTATTATTATTATTATTATTATTATTATTGCATTGCCATCTGGTGGGGGGAATTCCTTTAACATCCGCCCGGACTCACTGTGTATAGAGTATTTGCAGGAAACAGCTCAGACAAACCCACCAGAGGAAAGACGCATCCTAGTTGCTGCAGGGAAAGGGGAAATTATGGAGATCCCAAGGATGAGAAAATTGAGACAGAAGAAGGGAATCGGCAGCTCTTTGAGACTCTGGGGATTTCTCTGGCCGGGTGTCCAAACAGCTCCCTTGTCAATCACAGCTATGACTTCACTCATTGGCTAAAAACCAAAAGGCGGGAGCAGCCAGACTAGCTCATCTAATAGAAAATGCTTATAAGAACAATTGCAGATTTGCTTCATAACTTTCTTTCTAGATGGGCTAGAGACTTTAGCACTGACTGTTATCTGCCTCTCCATAATGCTGCTAATAATGGGTGCAAACCCCAATAAAATCTCAAACCCTGTGATTTAATGCAAAAATGTTCTAAAACAATTTTGCTTAGCAAGAAATGTGCGTGGAAAGAAAAACAATATTGTTTTCCAACCGGCGCCAGTTTCTTAGCAGGCGATCCAAATATTCTGAAATTTGTAAGGTTGATTTGGAGGGGGAAACCCTACAAAGAAATCCAAACCAGCTACTGGTTTAAACTAAGTTCACCAGTAAGGTATTATTCTGATTCTTTTTTCATTTCCATACCGTCAGGTGCTCTTGAGAGTTTTCTGTTGGACGAAAAGCAGGGCAGACTTTCGAAAATTAAACAAGGTCTCTGGCATCAGGCAAGACGGCTGCCCTCTCCTAGCTATGCTGTCCTCCTAAACACCATGGTTTTTCCAAAATTCGGTCACACTAGAGTGTGACCAAGGAACGGAAGTCAGGAAGAGGCTGTGCAAGATAGCAGAGGAGATTCTCAGTGGTTGAGATCAACTAGGAGCAGATTTAGGTGCCCCCCCCAAAAAAAACATTCCTCAAGGGGGATCCGTTCTGTTTTGTCTCATAGGAGTGAACGGTGCCCAGGATGGTTAGAAAATAAAATGAGATAAGACAACGATTTCAGGAAGCTGGGTGCCACCCCATGGAGGAAGCCCATGGGTCTCTCCCAGCCCTGCCTGGAAGTGACAGAAATTGAACCCGGGACCTTCAGCACGTGGGAAAGATGCTCCACCATGTTGGTGTTTGGTATCTGGGAAAGATTTTCACAGCATGGGAGAGGAGCGTTATCACCTGCTAACAGGCTGCGTGTTGGAAAGTCTTTGTCAAGGGCAAAGGGAATATTTTATGTGCAACAGAGCATAAATACCAGCATACAATGTTGGCTGACCCATTTTTAAAGGCTTGGGATATGAGGTGCAAGCGCACTACTTCTCTGACATCTATTTGGGTCCTTGATCAACTCCCCATCTATTGTTTTGTAATGGCGGCAGAATTCGCACGCATTTCCAGATCTGTCTCCACCCCGCCCTCTTCTTTGCCAAACCCTAAAAGTCTGAGGGGTGGGGTGGGGGGAGAAGGAGAAGGTAGCCTGCCATCTTTGGCCTGTGTTTCTCAAGCCGGGGGAACCAGGGCCTGGTTCCCTGTTTCTGTTGCCGCGGCAACGGGCGCCATCTTGCAGACATTGATAGAAGACTATTTGTAGTCTTTTGACAGAAGGGCAGAGCAAAGGGCCCTGGGGTGGGGTGAGGGAAGGGGGCAAAGACCATGGGAATTTTCCCAAGGGCGGGGAGGCAAAGTATGTAGAAACTAGCCTAAAATTAAAAATTATTGCCCCCCTCACTTTTCCCTCTGGCCCTGCCAAGTCACTGGCATGCGGCCCCCGAAAGATTGCTCAGATCAGAAGGCGGCCCTCTGGCTGGAAAAAAAAAATTCCCCATCCCCACTGTAGCTCCTATTCAAGCTATACAGAACCTGACCCACCACCCCAAATTCCATAGGGTAGACCCACATACGCCATACCCAATCGAGGCCCACAAAAGGCCAGCATTGGATGGGACATTGGGTGCAGGTCAGGGACATTTGGGTTCGAATCCCTTTTCAAACATGAAGTTCACTGGGCGATGTTGGGCAATTCACACTTCCTCAGCTGCACCTACCTCACAGGGTGGTTGTGAGTACAAAATATAGAAAGCAGAACAGAAGACACGTTAAGATTAATTTCTACCTTCAGGGGTCCTGGGATAATGCTATATTGTTGGGTCAACATCACCCTTGGTGTAATAAGAGGCTCAAAGAGCTCAGATTTAACCGATCAGTTCAGCCCCGGCCAGCTCCTACTTTGCTCCTGCCTAGCTGGTAAAACTCACCCCCTATGCCCTCCCCATCTCTTGGACCAGCCTACAAAACTCAAAACTCATTGCCTGCCTGCCCCACACAGCTCCCACCTGCCCATTGGCTCTGTGCAAGAGTCTCCTGCGCTGCCACCAGCCCCACTGTTCCTATGTGGGGCTGCCCTTGGAAGACAACATGGCAACTTCAACTGGTGCAAACTGCAGCGGCCACATTAGCGGCTGGGCTTCCCGGTAGATCTCAAAAGCCCCTGGGCCCAATTCACCATGCTCACGTTGGTGTTTAAACCCATAAACGCCCTGAATACCTGAAAAACAGTCTCCTTCGCTACAGACACTCTCAGGTATTTAGATCGGCAAAGAGGGGCAGCCCTCTTTCTTGTTCCAGTGCCTTCAGAAGTTCGGGGTGGGTGTGGCAGCCCAGGACAGGGCCTTCTCTGTGGCAGCCCCTAAGTTGTGGGACTCCCTTCCTCAGAGAGCTGTACCTGACACCCTCATTGTATGGCTTTTGGCAAATGCTGAAGATGCTCCCCTTTATCCTGGCTTTTGGCACTCAAAAGTGCGTAATTCTTGGACCCGCCTTATTATGTTTTAAACTGTTTTTCATATTGCTTTTTAATTGTAACTCACCCTGGGACCTTAGGGTGGAGGGTGAAAATAATAATAATAATAATAATAATAATAATAATAATTACTTCTGATGGTGGGAAACAGAATCAGACTCTGCCAGGTGATCCTGTGCACAGTCCCAACCAGCGCCAGAATCTCAGCTTCAAGATCTCTCCACAATCTCCCTACGTCTGCTAGGCCTGACCCAATGCCTGCCTTTCACTACCACATGCCAATTATTTATTGAGTTCAAACAGGACTGAAAACAGACCTGCGCATTGTAAATAAATAAAGACAGACAGACATATTAAGAAAGCAGCACTGACCCCCCCCCCAAAAAAAATGCTGTTTGGGGTTTGTGGCAAAGATTGGCCTCTAACATAAATGTTTTGGTTTCAGAGGATCAATCAATGCTTGATTTTTAAAAGACGATTCTAGCCCTCATGACTGTAGTGGGGCGTTGGGGGTGTGAAGCTTAGAAACGGCTTTCTGCTGGAATCAAAAAGCTAAAGAAACAAATAATAATAATGCATCCGTTTGCGGTCTGGGCAGAGGAGAGAGAGCTGACTCTAAGAACTCGCTGGCATCATGATACTTTTCTTCTGACGTCTTCCCTAAGGATCGGGAAAGGCAAATGAGAAGGGCTGCGCTCTAGCAGGAGGAATGTGGCTCTCTGCTTCTCTGCCAACAAAATCACGACTCCAAGCTGATACCACACATAGTACAGTGGTACCTCAGGTTACATATGCTTCAGGTTACAGCCTCTGCTAACCCAGAAATAGTGCTTCAGGTTAAGAACTTTGCTTCAGGATGAGAACAAAAATCGTGCTCTGGCGGCAGCAGGAGGCCCCATTAGCTAAAGTGGTGCTTCAGGTTAAGAACAGTTTCAGGTTAAGTACGGACCTCCGGAACAAATTAATTACTTAACCTGAGGTACCGCTGTACAGTCCTTTCTAGACTGCACCATTTCAGATTGCAATCTTGGAAGGTCCCAATAACACCCCCCCACACCTCCCTGTTCTTAAAAAACGAGCACGTCAGGGGGAAGCATTCTAGTCTAACCCTCTCTTTCGCTTGCAATATTTCCCCCCACAATGGGGAAAGCATTCAAACAGATGATTCCCCCATCTGTAGTCCGAGTGGTACAGTCCACCATGGATATTTCTGCAATTGGCCTAGTGACATTC